GAAATAAAAATATTTTATACTTTAAATTGCCTGTCCAGAGCACTGTTTATAAACCTGCTTAAGTATCTATTTAAATTATATAATTTCAAAAACATTTTTGTGCAGCTTTCTTTGTTAAATTTATCACGTTGTGCTATGTAGCTAGAAGAGCTGTCTTGCTAGGAATGGGCAGCCTTGGTGTTTGAGGACCTTTAATATGTGATTGCTCCCATAACTATAAACCTGTAACAGGACTGTAAACCTGTAACTCTTTTCATATGGCTTCTCTCCAACTTACAACAGTTCCAGTATGGTTTCTGTAAGTATTAGCAGTTCTTCTTAAGGGTTTACACTAAATGCTAATCTAAAAAGTCATAGATCTTAAAAGCATCTCTTCTTACTATGTAGCAGTGTTTATTTAAAGATTTGTTTCTGCTATACTCACAAATGTAGTATGTGGTTTAATGTTGAAAGTACTTTAAATGTATTTATATTTGAATGTTAAGTACACTTAAATATATAATTAAAAGTGCTTGTCAGGCTTCACCTATACTTGTGGATGGATCTATAAGCAACTCTGCGTTAAATTAGGCACATGCCAGCTATTTCCTGTATTTTTCATATGAGTTTGTTTCTAATTGAAGTCCTTCTGGATGGTTGCAGGAATTAATGGTGACCTGTTTTTAACTAGGTTTTCCACTTCAGAAAACAAAGGATCTGTAAGAGAAGTCCTTTTTAAAGCCAAGTCGTGGAGGGAGAAATAATGACAACTCTAGTCTTAACCAACTGTCCATGTACCAGCTTTTCTCCCACAGTAACTGGCCAGCTCTCAGTGAAACTAGGGTAGGAGTAGGAACATGGACAGGCAATGAAGAGTAGCTGATGTACTGTAAATCTATTCTTGAACATTAGCTGCCAACAGGTAGGCAGCTGGTCCCTGACTTCTGGAATTGGGCAAGTACCGTGGAGGAGAAAGTCATGGTGTTCTTTACCTCTTTGGTTTTTGCTTGAGTATATGCACATCGACGGGTAAATCATCTTGGAGATAAAGGGAACTGCGAGATCTTATATTCCAAATTTAATAATTGAAATATTATATGCCAGCCAGCATTTGAGTGAAATGTGTGCCATAAGAGGGGAGGGGACAGTGTCTCAGGAGGAATTCCCTAGAAAAAGCATCTTTTGTAAAGTTACACAATGGAAAACCATTTCTGGCATTTTCCCTGCGATATGTAACAAATACAAGATAAGATCTAGCTTGTCCCTTTCATTGGTTTTGAATTTGAAAGGCAGCAAAATATCAAAATCGGTCTTTTCATGTGAAGTCTACCATGAAACCAAGGAATCATGAGATGAACTAACATCAAGATTCATATTTGCTGCTATTATGTTAACCATTTTGTTTTGAGCAGGGACAGTCTGCTGATGTGTGCTGCAGTGAGCACCACTCTCAGTGTATAAGACTCTTGTCTTTCAGAATAGCTCCATAGCTCCAAATGCTCGCTGGGCTTTCTGTTCAATACCTAGGGCATATGTAGCCTTTAGCCCAGGTTTGTGCATTACTGCGAATTCAGAGCTAGTGTGAAACACTTTCAAAAGCAGTAGGTGAAGAAACTTTTTTTTTCCCCTTATGCAGTAAGTAATAGTGAAAGGCCTTGGTCAATATTTCCTTTATTACGGGAAAAGAACAGTCTTCCTGTCTCTCTTAACATCAGTATTACAAGCTGGTGTCTTCCAAATCCTATGCTTATTCACTGTCCCAACAGCCTGTCCCCAGCAGTATCCCTCTTCTGAGAAGGAGAGGAAGACATTTCTCAGTATTTGTCGTCGTTGTTGTTTTCTCATGATCCAAAATAAATTGACAGATCTGGAGAAGGAGTATTACCCGATGTGCTATTGATCTGACAGTTGGGTTCTTGCAAACTGTTCTGAGTAGCTGCTTGGAGCTGCTGGTGTGATTTCCTGGGATGCCTTCCCACTTTCCAAATACAGTTTATCCCTCTCATTTGTGTCAGTATTAATTACTTGCTGAGCCACACATCGTAAAAATCATTCAGGTTAAAACCAGCTGCTTCCCACCCCAAGTAGGAGGAGACGTCAAGGATCTGTGGCTGATTAGGGGATGTTAGGTCAACTGTGCCGCTGAAGCAGCACTCTAGCTAGCAATACCTTGAGTCAACTGCATTACCAAGGTAAGGAGAATAGTCATTTGACTTACAAACAGGCCTGTACAATAGCAGAAGACAGTGGTAACCACCACCCCCTCTGTCTGTCCTGCTCTCTCCCAGGCCTTCCCAGGGCCCAGCTCCTCGCATCAGCCCCCTGTTAAGCTCCTTTGCCTATGTAAGCCATGAATTGGTGCAGTGAGTAGCCTGGAAATCATGTTACCGAAGTTAAATTTAAGTGAGGTGAATGTCACACTCTTAATTATTCATGGTAGTATCTTCATATGTGAAATAAGGATAATGACTGTTACAGATGAGAATTGTGATTAGGTGCTTCATGTCCTAATTCAGTAGATTGCTCACCTGTTCTCAAGGTCCTCAGATCCTTGATTTGTTAGAAAAATGTGTCCTAAATGCAAAAAATAAGGTGGCTCTGCAGAGATATCTGTTAAAGCTAAAGTAAGTTTTCTTTGTTAGTGTGCGGTTTTAAGATAAGTGAAACCTAAGAGACCTTCATCTATACATGCAGAAAACTTTTCTACATAAATGACAATTTTAGCAAACTAATTTTTTCTGTGATCTTGTAAATCCTGCTGCCAGGATGCCATCTGTCCCAGTGGGGTGCACAGATGTCTCTGATGGTGAGATCAGATTTGGTGGCTCATCTCAAAATGCTAACATCCATTTTGCAGGGAAGGGGGTTGGGGGAAGCTGATGTGCTTCCTTGCTGGAAACTGGAGGAGGTATCCTTTCTTCGGGCAGGAATATTTCACCCCACAGCAGTGGCTGTGCTAATGAAAGTTACCTAACTGTGTGCATGACTAAGTTATTTTCAGGATCAAGGTGGATTATTTGGCCCCTTTGGAGTCAATAAGCTTGGGCTAATTTTGTAGTGGCCTAGAGGTTTCCTTCTGCATCAGTCCTTGTTCTCCTTCCAATTCTTAGTAACTTCATTTCTTGATCTCTGCTGACCTGTGACTCCCAACCCTGTCTCCAAGTCTGAATATCTCTGACCTTTCTTTTACCGTTGGCTCTCCTTGCTTTCTTCATTGACCTTTATTTTTCTTCCCTTTCTTTCATCTTTTACAGAATTTCTGCTTTAAGCTTCCTTTCCTTCCCATATAGATATGTGAAGTTGTTTTATTATTCTGAAGGGATTTCTCCTTGTAAATTTTTGTTACTCTTGATAGTTTACAAAAATGTGGTTTCTTTGTTGTTTTTGTTATGTTTTTCCATGTCAATGCTCAGGTGTAACAATGTTGAGTGTGTAACAAATGGCTAAAAAAAAGGATAGGACTGGAGGAGGTTCAAAATGAATGCATAGAAGTGCTGAACGGGGATGTCACTTTAAGATATGTGTTTGGGTATTGCATCAGAAGCCAAGGTAAAGGTTTTATTCCACGCTCTAGAATGACTGCTGGTATATGGGAACTTGTATTCCCAGGAGGGGAATGACTTACCACGTTATTACTAGCTAATGGACTGTACATGCCTGCCATATAGAGGGACTTTCATTTGAAAACGTCAGTTTTCCCCATGATTTGATTCAATATAGACTCTTTATTCCCTTTACTTCATGTGTTAACAAGAAAAAATGGTGATCCACAAGACTTTGGCCTGTTCAGGATTTCACAATGAATGAGGACTACAGTGTTGGTATTTTTAAAGCTTTTTAAAAAATACTTAAGTCTATCAACAGAATTTACCTGGTAAAAGCCCCCCAGCCTTTTATCTGCAATTTGTCAATTGCTTTCCTTATGTTTACAAGTCCTTTTTCTTGAGTGACCTTTGGATTTTAACCATCTAATTAACAGGCCAGACATTAGATGTGGAGTTGAGCTCTGAACACCCACTGGCTTGGTTCTGCACGGGTGACCGCTGGCTGGCAAGGGAGGCAAACTGAATAAAACTGCAATAAACATACGTGTCAAACTTGTGGAGTAAGACCTGTCTGAGGTCAATATATCCTCTTTTAATAAGAATATTTGAGTGCTATGTTCCAGTGTACTTCTGTTGAGGTGTACCTGAACAAACTTAAGTTGTTAGTTAATGAGGTAAAGTAATTTTAGTGATACAAAAATTTGTGAGTACCTGCTATAATGCTTTCACATTTTGCATCCCTTAATAGGGAAGCAAAAAACCAAGTGATTTGGTTACTTACTTCTATTTCTTTTTTCCTAGTTGTCTCACTCTATAGTGTGCACTTTATTAATCAATGCCACACACATCCATGTGCTGATCTGCAGTACTTTCAAGTTCAAGTGTAACACAACAGTTGGTCCAGATTGCCCATCACCTGCTTGATGTTTGACCAGGAGGATTGACTATGAAGGATTAAAGAGAAAAGAATGTTTTACCAGACTGCTGCGTCTCAAGCAAAAATAACTTAATGGGCAAATGTTTTTCTGGTCATAATATTGGAGAAAACACAAAATGTTATTACCTTGCTGTTTAGTAAAAGAAGTGAAGATTTAAAGTGCTGAGAATGTGCTTAGCTATGATTATGGGTGTTTACAGTATTTTCATTATACTAAACTGTAAAGATTTGTGAGATTTTGTGTTGCAGTTGTGTTTGACCCTAGAGTTCTTGCATGCTAACCTAACGTAGAAGATTAGCCTCTTTGCATGCAGCTGGGTGCTGCTACTGCCGTGACAAGCATGTTCTGTGAGAATGACATAACCTCCCCTGGCTGCAGCCCCTTCCCAGCCCTGTCTGTGGCCTCATTTCCTGTGGTACGTGCATAACTACCTTCATCATTAGTTTCACTAACCTTAACGGTTTGGTCTTATATCAGATGCACTTTGAAATGTGCGGCTCGATCAAATCAGCACTGAACTTTCAGTTTTCTCTTTCAGATAGGCTGAAAAAACTCATTGATGAACGAGAATCCTTACTAGACCAGGTAATCACAGGAAAACTGAAATGCTCTGTGTTTACTAAATCTGTGATAAGAATAGTAGAGATTAAAAAAAATCAGAATAGCCCTAACATAAGGTATAGAACAGCAGTGCCATTGCCTTTCAGAACGTGTGCTGGGTTGCTCTCGCTGAGGACTTACTGCGTTGCTTGCCACTTTATTCTTCCTCTGAAACATTTCTCCTGCGTGTTAACTCAGGATACAGGGCAAGAAAGAGATGACCCAGTGTGCCTGTTCCGTGTTGCTAACCAGTCATATTCAGTGTCCTTAGTCACCTAAAACTTCTTCTCCAGGACTATTTCTGAAAAATACTACTTCAGATTGGCCAAGCCCAAGGGAAAAACTAATACGGTCCAGAAATTGTAGAAGCAAATTTTATCTCCAAGAGTAAGCCTTTCTGATTGCTGGATCTGTGGGCAGTGGGCCATTCATAAAGAAATGCAATTAAAGTAATTATTGCTGGTACCGTGATATTCCATAATGGATATAAAGCTTAATAAAAAAAATTTAGCTGGCCTGTTTGTCTGCAGGATGCTCTGTGCTTTCATTTATGGACTATATCCTTGACCTTGAGGTTTTATGCACAGCCAAACACTGTTTGGGTTTTTAAGAATGTTTTATGTGAATGTGCCTACAATTTTCCCTTACTCATTTTTAAAACTATTTTGTGTCCTTCAGGTTAAAAAATTAAAGGGACAACTGGAAGAAAAGCAAAAAAATGGCAAGATGGAAAATACACAGTCTGAAGATGAAGTTCTGGAAAATGGGACAGATATGCACATGATTGACCTCCAAAGTGAGCTACATTTTGATTTTAAGAGAACTTTTGTGTCCTGCATGTGAGTGAGAAAATGATCTGTACAATAACCACATGGCTCTAAGTAAAAATGAGCCTTCAGTTCTAAGGGAGCTTCAAAGTGGGAGCCAGCCATGCACCTCTATTAGAGGTGAGGGAACAATTATCCTTTGTTTGAACAAGATTGTAATTGGCAATCTCCCTTGTGTTCCCCAGGAGAGCTGGGCTTGAGTTCCTGGTTAATTCTGCTTTCAGAGTGGTCAAAAGGGACTCAGGCAAGATTGGGAGTAGCTCCTATCTGCTGGGCACTGAGCAGGGCTAGCTGCCAGCTCTGATGTGTAGACAGCATTTGCTATTCTATCGCTGCCCCTAGTAGATCGCTGTAGCATGGAAATTTTATGACAGACTTGTTAGAAGACACTGTTGACGCTTGTTCTGACATCTCTGATAAATCTGCAATTCTTTTAGGAGATGCCAACAGACAGATCAGTGATCTCAAATTTAAACTAGCAAAGTCTGAGCAAGAGATAACGGCATTGGAGCAGAATGTAAGTTTCTGGCTTGTTCTGTTTGTTTAGGCATGGTGAGAATGCAAAGAGAAAGTGTATTTTATTATATGATAAAAGAAATCACGATTACTGTGATTTTTCCCTTAAAATAAGAAGCTCCAACATTGGAGTGTTGGAGCATCAGGGCTACTGCACTTAAGTCATAACGACTAAAATGCTTTCATTTATGTATGGGGAATATATTACTCGTCTTTACTGAGGAGAAAAACGTTCAAAGACAAAGGTGTCTTGAGAGCACTTACTGAACTCTTCAGCATTCTTTCTTATACCTCACTATCAACAATTTTTAAATGGCTCCTGGCATATGATGTAGTATATATATGGATTTTATGCAAGACTGTTCAATTTTGACTGTTTGCTCTTGTCCAGAGTATGTCAGTGATACTCTCGCTAAGATAAATTTAGTCAATGGGCTGTATTTTTTTTTGTTGCTGGAAGGATATTAAATATGGATATGTATAAAAGATCTTAAGTTACCATGGCCAGGCTTCCTTGGTATTTTTTTTCCCTCAAAATATGCCTTTATTTTACTAAAGAAAAGTGAGCATCTCTCTGGTTATTGCTTAACTACTTGGGGAAGAGTGAAGCTTCAGAGTAACTTCTTGGTACAGCTTTTAATTCGGAAAATTTGCCTTTGCCTTAGGTAATACGATTGGAAGGTCAGGTAGCCCGATACAAAACTGCTGCTGAAAATGCTGAAAGAGTAGAAGATGAACTGAAAGCAGAGAAACGCAAACTACAGAGAGAGGTAACTCTGAATGCAAACTGTCATAGGCTAGCAGTCAGCCCGCACCGCATGGGGGGAGGCCTGTCCATCTGGTGAATTTTAGAGGAGGAACTACACTTCTCGGTAGAGCAACGAATAGACATCTTTTTTTTTTTTTTTTACTGCTTTAGTTATTCATTCTGAATGTTTAACCGAAGTTTCAGCGCTCAAACTGGAGTAACAGTCACAACTGTGAACTCCCATTCCTTTTTTCCATTCCTTCCTAAACTGACCCATGCCTTGCTTTGTACCAAAGTCGGTTCTCTGGAGCAAATTCAAGTTCTACTTGTACAACTTGAATCTAGAAGCAGCCTTCAAATGCTCGGGTTTGCGTGCTACTTGCAGCTGTGAATGTTCACGGGGTTCGACATTCATCAAGCTGAAGAATTCCTATTTCTACTTTGCTGTCCTTGTCCTTTGTGGTACCTGAAGACTCGTTACAAATTCTGAGTTTGTAAATATAAATCACTGGTCTTTTTATATAAATAAATATTTTTTAAAAATTAAATTAATTAAAAATTGAATATTAA